GTGTGTGTGAATGTGTGATCGTTCGACTTGCTCAACATGTTCGATTACCTAAACATTCGTGGCACCATTCACAGTGATACCAAATGAGGATATCGCTGAACTTCTACCCGAATCAATCAAACTCTTCTTTTTGTTGTCATCGCGTTTCTTTGTCTCAACATTCGACGATGAACCACCACCCATCATCGAAGTTCTATTGAATGAGTTCGTTTTCGACAAATGATGATGCGTCGACTTTCTGGGTTGAGTCCCTTTGATAACGGCGACAGCCAGTTGCTTGGGTGTTGGTGCTTCAAGAATCGACGTTTTCGCTTGACGATTCACGTGCTCCAGAATGTGTTTCTTGCCTACGGTGATGCGTCTTGACTCGGCGTCAATGTTGTTGTTATCACTACTATCATAATGCACACTCAACGCACTGCACATCGACGACGTATGCGAGCAGTTCGCTGAGTCCGCAGTGTCGCTTCCATCGTTCGAGTCCGATTCACTGAAATCTCTTTTATGAATAATCTCATTCATCCATCCTTGCATNATGTAAAACCTAATGCTTCTTTTTGTGCTGCTCTATTACAAGCGCAGCCATGCACTTACGGGGTGATCTCAATCGGAATTCTCAATAAAATTTCTATTCGTCGAATCAGTACTGAGTCAAGTCATAGTTCAGGTAGAAACTTGACAAAAAACGAACGAACCTATGTTGCTGAGTTCGTCTAAAAGTGCAATTATTCGGAGGGTTGCTCTTTAGTTGAGCATGTTTTTTGCTGTTGTTAGCTGAAATAGCGGTCAGCGTGAACCAATCAGCGGTGATATTCGTGCGTGTCCAACGATGTGACATTATATCAGCCAACGAACATCTTGTGAACGGATCGAAGCAAAGACAGCGTTCCATCAGGTCTTTTGACTCTGAAATATCATGAGCGATTATGTGATAAGTGGAATATTTTCACAGAGGATTCTCTCGAAACATCGAATGTCACCAAAAAGTTACTGAAACTCTTGGTAGGAAATGCATTTCACAGCTATTTTCCACCAATCATAGATTACGGAAAAGATAAAATTCCGCACAATCGCATAAAAATCGCACCATCACTCAACGACCCGTGAAACGGCAAAGGACCGAGCAGATGCGATGTGCAAATATCTTTCTCATTGCGGAACGGCAGTCGTCCATTCAACATATTGTATAGCAGTACTCCCAATGACCACACTGCTGCCTCTTCGCCGAGATACAATGCATGCAGAAACCATTCGGGAGGACAGTACAATCTGGTGCCTGAAATGAATTGTCGGAAATTTGTTGATTTCGCTGCATTCGTGAATATTTCGCTGTTAATGAGATGAAAAGTGAGTGGGTTCTGATTGATAGGAACAACAAATGCGGATTACCTTGAAAATCGGTGTAGTGGGTCTTTTTGAGTGGAGTGGCTGCACCAAAATCGATCAAACGAGTTTCACCGTTTAGCAAATCGATTACAACGTTTTCGTCCTGTTTTCAACAACAAAAACAACAATAAACAAGTCAATCATGAACCAATGCAAATACCCGATTTCAATAACAGTTATAGTCCACGAAAATCAGTTCAATAAATATTTCCAAACTGAACACACTTCGACAACATGGAATTTTTGTCGAAGTTTTTTGCACGAAACAGTTTTGATCTATTGATGTCACACATTGCGACATTCGGGTATTCCGAATGGCAATGTACATTAACGATAGATATGAGGTTTTGATGGCCATCATTCAATACTGATTTAGTTCGAATCAGAGTGGATGTTAATCCTGTGAACTTCTTTGTTTCAACGTTTCGAAGTGAAAGCCATTTTTTGAC